ACCATGTCTAGCTATTGGGTAGGCCTGTTGAACACCTTTCCTTTCTGTAGGATTTGTCTTCTGTCATTTCTTTCCTTTTCCAATCCTTCCATGTCCTTCTTTTTCACATGATTCGAATTACAACATGGTCCTTTATGCCCTTTCAATTTCTCCATTTTAAACATTGTCTATGCATTCCTTGTACCATCGCTTCCTCAAGAATGATTTCCTCCTCCTCGTTGCTTGTGCACATCATCATATAGATATTTATTCCATTAATGTTTCTCATATCCTTTAACATTCCTATTATAATGTTCTCTATCCTAACTGGTTCTTCCCTCCTAAAACCTATGCTGCCAAGAAAGGTTGTTTGGCATTCTCAATCATATCCTTGCAGACCATCTCCCACCTATTTTTACATTCTGATCCAGATAGGCTTCTTTTTCTGGTTTCATCCTATAAGTGAGTTGGATCCTATGAGTTGGGTGAGTAATAATGTTGTCCGTAATACTATTTACAGCTATTATCTTGAGTGTAAACAAAAGCATGATCCTATAATGCCAGATTCAGTTTGTCATATTTCTGCTCCTACAATTGTTTTGTAAGTTTATAACATTGGTTTCTTGTCGTATGACACTCTGTTTACCTACAGTTGGGGCTAAGGGGTATGTATAACAAAGTCTACATATCCAAGCCACAGTGTTGTTGTGACAATTTTTTCATCCTCAAACTCCTAATGCCAAGGATGCCAAGTTGAGGTTGGATATGTACCTAGATAATTCTGTTTATATGTTACTATAGTTCGCACCTCTCAAAACATTTTAAGCTTGTGCTAGAACTTTCCTTTTCTGCCCATTTTGGATTAATTTCCTACTTTCTAGAAGAAGTTTATACCTCTTCCAGAAAGTAGTTTCACAAGTGTGCTTCATTTTCATCTCCGAGCACATCCATTCATTCTGGGTGGTGGCTTTCCATTGGGTTTGATATTTGTGCAACTACACTGGCCCCTCCACCTTTGTAATGTGGGAATCTAGGTTGGTGTGAAATAATGCAAAACTGTGTCACAAGTTAATATTTTCCTTACACTGAAAATGTATTTTCGATAGATACTTACTTTTCACATACATCCCACTCTTCATCCTTTTAGAGCCTGATAATTCTTGAATATGAAGATTGAGCAGAAAAACAGTATAGGTTGTGCAATACTATTGTTGTATAGTCAAACGATATGCATATTTTCATAAATGGCACAAAATTGATGTGGCTCTGATCAAAAATATCTTTTTAGCAAATGAAGATTGAGGTAGCTTTGTGTGATGAAGGTGAGTACCAACTGGAAATATACTGTCAGTGTAAAAAAAAAATGTTAACTTCAACCATTTCTTTGACTCTCTCACTATGAGTAAGTCAAAGTGTTTTTCACAGCTTTTTAGTAAGTTACATTCAAAACTTGGTATGAAAACATAATTAATGAATCAAATTAAAGTATTATTTAACTTGTAAGTTAACTTGATCAGTAAATACTAAAAAAATCCTCAACATTTGTTCTCTAGGTCTTTCCTCCACTCTAATTTAGTTACCACTTCTCTGAGAGGTAGAGAATTTAACATTAGAATATATACATTACTAAGACAAAGTCTTACTTTAAAAGCCTTCAGTATTATTTGGTTACAGAATCATATTCTACAAAATCAGACCCGACTACCACATCCTCTCTTTCTCATATAGCAAATAGATCTTACTATACTGAATACAGAATGTGTGTCAGTATCTACATATCTAACCAAAATTCCTGTTTCATAAATTCAATGGCACTACAAACAAAAATTGATAAAAATTCACACTCTGGGTATTCAAGATTTAGACAGTTACAAAAATAACTGTGGTATGTGCAATAATGATTTATCTAAATAAAATAACTCTTCTCACAACAAGAAAACAACTTTGACTAGGACTGTATGAGAGGGTTTGATTACAGTTTAATTCTAGGATTAGTAATTACTAGCACAAACAGCCACCTGTAGGGCAGCATTTCTTCTAGTTATTCATAGCCAACAGAAAGCCACTGTTTTGATCACTAAAACAATGTATTATATTACATTGCTTTTAGTACAGAGTATTGTATATTTCACGTTCAGTGTGAACATTTAGGTTTAATCCTTTCAAGATGGGCTCAGTATAATACACACAAATATTTATACTATAACTTTTAATGCAGTATGTGTATCTTCACAAAATTTTGTTGGTAGACTTTTAGTAAAGATTACAAGTCTGTTATACAAAAAAAATTATTCTTTAATGAAGTATTTTATTTTGGATTTTTTTATGCAAATATCGAGTCTGTTTCCTTACCAGTCCAAGCACGAAGTGATTTTCATGTTATAACTATATTGTTTGGAATTTTATGGTGCAAAGCAACTAGGCTATCTGCTCCAAACAACCAGTATAAACAGTAAAATTAATTGTAGTAAAATGTAAAAATACAGCAAGTTAAAACCAAAGTATGTCCAAGATTTGGATAAAAAATGTATACACAATTAAAAAAAGTCCAATTGTTCTTGAAAAATTAAAAATACTATCAAGTTGGACAGTGACACCATCACCAATGACATTGTCCAACGTCCAAAGAGCAACAGAAGGTTTCATCTGAAAAAGCTTGTTATGACATTGCTCACCCCAAGTCAACTACAAACTGGCACATAGCTGTGCTTTGAAGACAGGACCATTGTCCATATATGGGGCAGGCAGGCCATAACGGCACCAGAGCAGACGGACTCGTTCCCGTGAATACCAACGTGGCCAGATATTCAGAAAAACTGGATGGAAACAGAAGATAGAGAAATGGGCCAGTCATTGTTGAATATCAACAAGAACAGGGTGAGAACTAACATTAAGTGATTCCAGGACCAGTAGAGAGCTAAGAGAATCAGTGTAAATAGTACAATCACTGTACTGCATAGCTTCTACACAATCCAGGACAAGAGAAATTGCATACAACTCAGCAGTGAACACAGGAACTGTAGAGGGGATCCTGCATGTGAATAGGAAGAGAAGAATGGCTCAAAAGATGTTCAACAAAAAGAAGATGGTACTTTCAATCTGCCTTCCTCGGATGACTCAAGGAAAGGTCGCCTCTCCGTTACAAAGTTCTGAATAAAAATGGGTAAATAGCAATGCAACCCATAGGAGTGGAGATCCTGCAAAATGCCATACCTTCATGTAGTGTCACAAGCTTTCTCAAGTTCAAAGAACACAGAAACAAGATGTTCTCTCTTGAGGAAGGCTTTCCTGATCATAGGAGTGGAGATCCTGCAAAATGCCATACCTTCATGTAGTGTCACAAGCTTTCTCAAGACCAAAGAACACAGAAACAAGATGTTCTCTCTTGAGGAAGGCTTTCCTGATCATAGGAGTG